CCCGATGACGCCTCCTCCTCCCCCTCCCCCCCTTCCTCCACTCCCACCCCCTCCCTTCCTTCCGTCGCGGACGTGGAGGCCTCCTTTGGCTTCACCTTGACCGACGGGCAGGCGCGGACATTGAAGGAGGTCGAGAACGACATGGTCTGGCGCTCTCGGCCCATGGACCGGCTCGTCCTCGGTATCTGCTTCTTTGCCTCCCCTCCCACTCGCTCGCATTTTCATCCTCCCTGCCTCCGTCTCGCTTCCCGCGCCTCTCTTTCTTCCCCTTCCCTCCTCATCTTTCCTCCTCCCTCCTCTTCTGCTCTTCCTCCCTCCTCTTTCTCCCTCCTCCCTCCTCCTTCTCTGTCCTTCATCCTCCCTCTTCCTTATCCCTAGGGGACGTGGGCTTTGGCAAGACGGAAATCGCCGTTCGCGCCATTTTTCGGGCCGTCCGGAACCACCGGCAGTGTGCCCTCTTGGCCCCTACCACCATCCTCGCGGCGCAGCATTACGCTCGTCTTTGGTGAGAGGGTCTCCTCTTTTCTATCTCCGCGCCTCTTGGGTGTGTGGTCTCCTCGTCTACATCTTTCGTTCTCCCCTCTTTATCTCAAATTTGGCCTGCATGTCTCCTGTGTCTTTGTTTCTTGCCATTTCCCGAAATAATTTCGGGCGGAGCCTTGCATCCACCGCCCCTCCCAAATCCTCTCACACTTCGATGCCCTCTGCTTCCGCCTTCTCTCTCCTCCCCTCCTGTGTTCTCCTCCCTTCCTCCTCCTCTTCCTCGTCCAGTGCGCGCTTTCCCCGAATGAAGATCGAGATGCTGCGGGGCAGTGATGCCCCTTCCAAGGCGAAGGAGGTGAAGGCGGGATTGAAAGACGGCTCCATCCAGGTGAGGCTGGAGGGAGGAAGGAAGGGCGAACGGAAAGGGAGTGAGCACCTCAGGAGGGAGATGTGGAGGCGGCCCCTGCCGGCGTATCAAGCAGCTTGAATATCGTTGGAGGAAAAATTGGGACACGAAAATGTGAAAAAATGGACTGGAAGATCGAAAATCGGCGCCTGTAGCACGAGGTTTCCTGGGACTTGAACAGCTACTCAACCCGAGGCGCGGTGGATGATGCTACATTGGTTCATGGCTCCACCCTTCGTTTTTTCCCTCCTCTCAATCCCCTCCCATTCATGACTCCAGGTGGTGGTGGGCACGACGTCCTTGACGGGGAAGAGCGTCCGGTTCCAGAACCTGGGCCTGGTCGTCGTCGACGAAGAGC